GATTGCCTTTGGGGTCTTCTTCATAAATTCTTTGCCTAGGCCAATGTCTAGAAGAGTATTTCCAACATCTTCCTCTAGAATTCTAGTAGTTTCACCCCTTAGGTTTAAATCAAATATGTTTCTTATAGATTAAATCTTAAAATCTGTTGTTTGAAAAATCAACTGTACTTTAATCAATTTTTAGCCTGCAAATGGGACTACTTTATTATAAATCACTTTAATATTTTATCAACTTAGTCAAATATTTTTTCATATATGTAACGGGTCAAACATTCTAGGGATTTCATCTGAAAGCTCATTTTGTGCATTGCTTGAGTGATGTATGTACTGACGGCTCTGGCTTTACCACAATGCAATGTATCGATGTAGCAAAATTGTACTTGTACTCTATGAATATATACAAATAAAAAATAAATGTTAAAATCCCCTCATTTTGTCTAAAGAGCTTTACAAAATTTGTGAAATATCACAAGATTATTTATGATATATTTATTTTTTAAAGTAAACTTGGCCCCACTTTTGAAAAGAAACGTTGGGAAAAATGGATGCAATATCCATTTATCTCAACTTCCTTTACAGAAGTGAGGGTCAAATTTTGTGCATTTTATGGTGTCAACTTTGGAACACTGCATGGATCTGTCTTTCTGTTGTATAAGAGATTCTTGCATAAGGACTTTAGTCATAGCAGCATGTTTAGCATGAGTGACCTGCAAATGCATTTCCTTTAATTTCTCATTAGTGCTGTCTGACATTTTCTTCAATGAGGGAATTTCTGCATTGTCTAACAGGGTAGCCATTAGCCACATGTGACTATGGAAAACTTGAAATGTGACTAGGGTGACTGAGAAACTAATTTAAATTTAAATAGTCATGTGATTAATGGCTACTGTATTTGACTGTACAATTCTAGTCTCTTCTTACGTTTATGATGTTTTCAGTAGGTAGCATTAAGGTATCAAATAATTTATGTATGTGCTGTCAGATTTTTATAGATACCTGAGGAAGTTAAGAGAGTCTTTGTTTCCATGCCGTTGCAAAGTCATGACTCGTTAAATGTTTTGGGCTATCAGTGTAAATATTTAACCTTTTATTTTTTTTAACAATTTGACTTCTTGTCCAGCTTACCTTTAAAGGAATGGCTTCTAAAATGGCTTTATGTAGTGCCATTTTTCTTGCTCTCTGAAAGTCATTGTAAAAAACGACCTGACAGCTAGGTTATTCAAATTCTTCCTTGGTTTTTCCTATCTTACTGTATTTAATCTTATTTTTCCCTGTTTTAGAGGTTCACAGTTAAATGAACTGGCTGTTATATATTTGATAGTATAGGGCAATAAGTATCAACTACAATCCTGAATTTTACTTCAAATTTCTGTCTGTCTTCCCAGTGGTTAGTAAAATCATTCATTATACCCTCAACTTGACTCTTTAGACCAGTGTTTAAATTCACCTATTATAGATCTGCTTTTTGCTCCTGAAATTTGAAGGGATATTGCATAATGTGATTGTTCCTGTCCTGAGATTATTCCTTTTTCTGTGAGTGTTACCTTTTCTCATATAAAGGCTAGCACGTGTAAGAAGCCAGGAGAAGGAGTAGAAGGAATAGAAGGGAGTATAAGGGGATAGTGAAGATAAAGCTGGGTAGAGATGGGTGCAAGGAAGGTGGATTTTTAAAGGTTTGAATGGAAGGGAAGTAGAATGTCTTTGAGAGAGGTTATTTTGGAGACAGTGTTTTGAGTTCTTGGTTAAAGAAGCTGACAAATTGTGTTCTTTTTTTTTTCCCCCTCATTCTTTAGAGCTTCTCTTAAGTGCCCTATTTTATTAATTTTGTTATGTCAAAAGTTCCCCATAGTGGCAATTTATTGTAAGCCACTTTTTTTGTTGACGTTTTGTATTTTGTTGGAAAATGGGTTGAAGGTGCTAGATGAAGATAGAAGTACTGAAGCAAAAAGATAGTTAAGAGACTGTGCAGTACGCCAAGCAAATGATGATGTAAACATGAATTAAGGATATGACAGTGAGAATTTGGATAACTGGGTAGACGCAGGAATATTCTATTTAGGAGGTAGGATTTAAAGGACTTGGCTTTTGAATGGGGGCCGGGTGGGTGAGGCCTTAGACAATTGAGTGATTAGTGTCATTCACTGAGATAAGTAACACAGTAGGAGGAAACATTTGCTGGGAAAAATAATGATTTGTAGACTATCAAGTTTTGAATACAGATCTCTAGGAGGCTTGGATCTGGATGGGTTTGATTTAGACAAGACATGTAGATATGGGAAAGGCAGGGGGTCCCCGAGAAACCCTCAGATTTGATGATTTGCTGGGAGGACTCACGGGACGCAGCATATAATCATGTTCCCTGCTATTGTTCATTACAGCAAAAGGATACAAAGCAAAATCAGCATGGGGTGAAGTCTGGAGGATATGAAAGTACATGCTTACAAGAGTCATTTTTCCACTGGAATCACACAGGACATTTCTAATTCCTTCAGTATAGAATTGTGCCACTTGTGTGAAATGTTATATACCAGGGAAGTTCATCAGAGAGTCAGTGCCTGAGTTTTTTTGGGGTGGTAGGCGACTGATCACATAGGTACCCTCTGCCTAGCACATATCAGGATCCCGCATTCCTAGAAGGAAAGCAGGTGTTCATCATAAACTACATATTTGTACAAAACAGTTTAGGTACAATGTAGCCCCTCTTTCAGTTCTCAGAATGGTGGGAGCTCTCCTGAAGTTAAAGTTCCTAGATACTATCAAAATTCAACCTTGTGAACAGGCCTTTCTGAAGACAGAAGTCCTATACTATATTAAGTTCTTTTCTGCATACGGTTGGGGCCATAAGAATGAATGAGATGAGGAAATCCATTGATTCCTTGATGCCACAATTATGAACTTGCCTCTGTTCACACAACCTTCATTTTTTTCCTGTCTAAAGCTTGATCCTTCCTTCCAGGTGGGTCCTGCCTGTTCTTCTTGGATACTTTTTTATATCAACTGTCCCCATTCTCTCCTGTATAGTCAAGCTCTTCCTCTCTTTTGGCTTCCCCCCAGTAACATTTAAGTATGCCCATATCCTTCTAACCTGAAAAAGAGTTCAGTCATGTCTCTAAAACCCAACTGTTGCTCTATTTTTTTTTCTTTTTTTCACAGCCACCCTTCTGGAAAACAAAAATTATACTAGTTACCTTTACTTTTTCAGTTCCTTTTATTTATTATAGTCTGGCTTTAATCCCCAAACTCCTCTAAAACTGATATTTTTCAAGGTCACCAGCATCTTTATTATAAAATCTAACAGTTATCATATCTTATCTCACTGGTGGCTTCTATTTTGTTTAGGAATTAGGAGATAAGAAAGCATCTACAGGTAGGTAGCTGCTGAAGAAATGGGAGAATTTTGAAATCTCTGCTTGTAGACAGTGGGAGGAGGAGTTAGAATGGAGACTCATAGGGGAATCCTGGGGTACAGCAGAAATTGCAGATCACTTTTTATTATAATTCTCTTCTTTGGATTACAAGGTCTTCCTTTATCAGTTTCAGCAATTCTAGTATTTGAGAAGAGATGAAGGCCTAATCCACTTGATATTTCGCTGGCTAGGTGCAAAGTAAAGACTCAAGGCAAGGGAACTGGGCGAAGAGTTTTTAAAGTCAAAGCAACAGTTTTTGCATCTTTCACTATAAAATGTAAAGTATGTGTTTATTTCTGTCCATTGACACCAACATTATAATGATATTGTATTTGTTGGTCCACAAATCTTTTTACAGTGTTCCCTAGAACGATGCCCTAGTTAAAGTGTAATTGAGAAGACTGAGCTTTAAGTGGCTGGAAAAGTACTATACTAAATATTTTTCTTAAATATTTCCCCAAGTCATTTTTACAGGCTTGACTAATTTCTTTTGATACTTGTAGGTAGGCTGCACAGTTCTGGAATTAATAAGTTATTATTATTTCATCAGATAACTACAGCAGTTCAGCAGTGTGTTCAGTACTTTGAACTGTGCGAGACCACGAAAGCTGAGGAGGCTTTGGGACACTCAAAGCATTGCGGTAAGTACTATTTCCTCAATTATATATTTTTAAAAATGGTAAATTTTACTAATCAAAATAGATTAGTAATATCTATTTTTAAACGATTGTTAGGATGGTGAATTAGGTCACTTTTGCTAATGATGTAAAATATTTTTTACAAATTTAAAAGATACGCTATAATCATGACTTCTTATAGCATCGACATTTGAAATTAAGGTATAATCATACTGATTCTTACTATATGCAGTTCTTCAATTTATGAATTTCATATAGTAAGAATCAGTATATGGGGTATATGTCCTAATCTCTTACACTGCAATAATATACGTCTGTTCTGTTCCCTGTGCTAATGTATGAGTCATTTAATCAGGCACATGTGTACTTTAGTGGGAGGAAAAGTTCCATAAAATATTGTTTTTATTATTGCACACTTCATACCACCCTGTGATTCCTCTCTGCTTATCCTCAGTCTGAGCTAAAATGTCCTAGATGCTCCATAATCTAGCACTAATTTCTTTTTTATCCAATCTCTTCTCTAGGTATTTCCTAAAGTTAATGTTCTCTTACTCAGATTCTTTTGCATACCAATGCCTATACAACTTTATTTCTACTCCCATTGCTCTTTCCATAATTGCCTAGCACTAATAGAAATCTTATTTATTATGAAAGAAGAAACTTTTCAAAATTTTCAGGAAGGCTTCCCTGCCTATTCTGAATTTTTTCTTGCTCTTTTGCTTATATCACGCAACTTTCCATATGAATTTGATGTCTTTTATCATACTGTTATTTTTATGTTTTTTTTTTCTCTAAGCAAATAGTACGTTCCTTTGAGGGAATGAAGATATCTTTTAATTTTATTTATCCCTGGGTAAATTCTTTAACTCAAAGCAAGGGAAATGGTCAAAGAACAATAATTAATGGGTTTCAAAAGCTAGTGTATTGTAGTGGAGTAGAAAGTATAGAAGTAAGAATGTATTCTTCAGGAGAAGGATACATCAATTTATATGATATCTCATTTACAAATTTATAGATTTTTCTAACTTCTTAATACTAAAATGTTATATCTGGATCTCTTTTTTTCTACCATTCTCTCCGTCCTTTGTGGTTTTGCTTTCTTCCCTATCTAATGAAGACCTCAGGGTGTTTCACCGCATTCTTTTGCCATGTCTTTAAACTTTCTTGCTCTTTTCTCTTTCCGTTTTCTCCCTGAAGTTCCCCAACTTTAGATCAATTCAGTCCTTTATCTCTGGTACTCAGGAACTTGAGCAGAGAGAATTTATGCCATAGTTTGATACAGCAAATATGTATTTTCTAACTTCAGCTGCTCTCTTTGTGTTGCTTTGGAATCCTCTTAATATTCTTTCTTTGATGTTCCGTAACAGTTGTTATAAGGCTTTGCCAGTCTCGTCAAGCCCCCTGCCTTTCCCCTGCCCACTTCTGTTGGGAGGAGCCCTTGCTTCCTGTTTCACTAAGAAAAAGGGAAGTTTCCAGATAGGAGCTCGCTAGATGTCCTGCTTCATGTATATAAATGCGTATTTATATGCCCTTATCAATATCCCCTCTCTCTAGGCTACATTGAAGAGGTATCCTGTGCCAGACTGGTCTCTTGACAGTTTTTTTTTTTTTAAAGAACCAGAACTTTGCTTCACTTGTTATTATGTATTAGTATCTATTGGTACTTTCTCCTGCCTCCTCCAACCTTTTCATGTGTCTTTCATTTTAAAAAACAGAGCAAGTTACATGTTCCATATGTGCCTTACCTCTCTGTTTCCCTTCAGAAAAGGGCTCTTTTAAGTAGTCTATGTACTCCCAGGCCCCATTTCTTTATTTTATATTCACTTTTCAACCACGGAAATGAAACTTCTATTTTTTTTGCCCTGGGACCTTCCCTTACCAGTTCCTGCTTTCTCTTGTCCTCATTTTATAGCATTTGCTTCTGTTGATTCTTTCCTCCTCTTTTTTGGTACTATTCTTGCTTGGATTTCCTCATTCTTATCTAATAAGTTTTTCTTAGTCATTTGAAAAGCTCTGCTCTTCTATGTTTGTACTCACAAAGGTTTTACCCTTTGTTCTTTTCTCACCTTAGTCTACCTGTTCTCTTGGGGGAGCCCATTCACTTTCATGGTTTCAAATATATATTTATACGTAAATGGTGACTCTGAAATACTTAAGACCACATCTCGTCCCTGAATTTCAGACCCATGCACTCATCTTACTTAATGTCTCTATCCAGATGTTACATGGGCACTTCGAAATTAAAATATCAAGTACTGAAATCACTATTTCTTCTATTTTTAAACGTTTTTTCTTTTTTTTAAGAATTATTTAAGTAGAGTAAAAAGCTTACCCTGAACACAGGAATTTGAGTTAGGAACTTAAGTTTTCTTATGTTCACTCATTCTTTCACTATCCCTATGTACCTGGCTAAGCCTTATTGATTTAATTTACTTTTTTTTGTTTATGTAAGAGAAAAGGTCTTGCTCTGTCACCCAGATTGGAGTGCAGTGGCATGATCAGTGTAGCCTCAAACTCCTGGGTGCAGACAATTCTCCTGCCTCAGCCTCACAAATGGCTAGGACTATAATTTTGTGCCACCACACCTGGCTATTTTTTTTTTTTTAAGAGATAGGATCTTGCTGTGTTGCCCAGGCTGACCTTGAACTCCTGGCCTCAAGTGATCCTCTTGTCTTGGCCTCCCAAAATGCTAGGATTATAGGCATGAGCCACCACACTCAATGATTTCATTTTCTTTTTTTTTTGTTTATACATACAGATTGTTTGAGAAATTATAGCTGTATGACAGCATAATGTAAACACACTTACCTTTCAAGTCAAGTAGCAGCAGCTACTATTCTTTCTTCATTTCACCCTCTATATTAATAGATGTTATTATCAGCATTTTATAGAGTGGGAACTAGTAAATTTTGCTAAAAATCATAGAACTAATTACTAGCATTACCTAATACAGAATCCAAGCTGCTTGAAAATACCTCCCACTAATACAGACTTTGCAATGTTCAAAGCCAAAACATAACACTACCATAAATTGAGATATTAATACATTTTAACAATTCCTCACAAAGATCAAGTCTACAAAGTCTTAAAATCACTTATAACAAGTGAAAGATCCTACCAAAATAGGAGATTATAAAGCAGTGCAATATTCCAAGATCTATTTCCTGCACTGTTTATAGCTGGGATTGAAAAGTGCAGGTCTCCATATGTGAAATTTCTTCAGTTGACAAGAAGCAAAAGCTCCTAAAATTTCAGGAATACCTTCCTGGAGGCTCCATTCCACTGTTCTGATGAGCTTCTGTAGAGTAGTCTGATATTCTCAGCTGTAAGCTGAGATGCATCAGGCCTGCTCTCCCTGAAGAAACAGTATATAGTTCCTGATATTCTTACAAGTTATTTTTAGCAAGAAACGTGCATTTCATATATTATCTTTCATGCTGAAGGGCACTTCAGTGGTAAAGACTAGTGTTTGGATGTTACAGTTTATGCCGTTGAACGTTTGATGAAGAGCATCTGATGCCAACACACAGCAATTTGAACGAACCCAATCTTTATCTGTCATTCACAAGCCAGAATCTGTGATGAACCAAGCAGTGAGAACCGGAATGAAACACAGAAGTTTTACAGTTTTGGAAGTTAGCGTTTTCAAAGGAATGTCTCATGCAGCCTTGACTTGTCACAAATCCGATTTCTTCAACTGCTTGTATGTCGCAAAGGAATGATATTCCAAGAATCAAATCTCAATTAATTTGGCCAGAACCCTTTATGTAGAGAAAAAAATCCTTTATTCTTCCATGTTTATAACAAGCAATCCAGGGTATTCAGAGCATCTGTCAACTCAAAGGACTCTCTCATTTATCTGTGTGTTCTCACAACATTGACAGGGTTTGAGACCAGGGCACCCACTAGACCACAGGTGATCCTTGAGACGGGTGGGTATGTACAGTGTCTCCCATTAGGACCGAGACAATCAGATACTTCTTGGTGATGACATAGACTGGTAGCTCCATGTCAATAGTGGCAGACCTCTGAGCAGTAGAGGATACACCCTTCCACAATACTCTTGTCCCCTGTTGTTGGTAAATGTTAATGAAGTTGTCTATCATTCCTCCTTGAACGATGTTGCTTTGTGCTTGCATCTGTATTTTAAAAACATCGGTTGGATTAGTAATGGTCGAAGATATGACGTCAGAGAAAATTCAACATATGATATTTATTGGTAAGATTTGATCTTCTGGACATTCAACAAACGATCGCTTCAGGCTCTGGTAAGTGCCTATCTTGATGGTGTCATAGGACACCTGGTGTAATATGGCAGGGGGAATCCCTGAATATAGAGCTTTCAACCCTTCTTCTCTGCTTATCCTCACTAATGCATGCAACATTTCTTTAATTTCTTTAGAGTTTACATCATCCATCTTGCCTTGAATCTGGAGTGGTGCCTTAGTTAAATCAAGTGGAAATGTACCCCATTCAGCCAGGACGGAGGCTAGCCCACCATACAAATGGCTGCCAGTTGAGGGCTGACATTCTCACACTGTCTCTTCTCCTTTCCTTTATAGAAACATTGTCTCCAATAGGGCTTTTGGTGGCAGCGGAGCCCCTCTACTTCCTCCAACCCGGAATTGGTTGCAGCTAGAGCCGGAGGCTACACAGGAGGTCTTATC